CCACAACCACTGCGCTCCCAAATGCTTTTCTCCTGGGGGGCTTGAGCTGTTAGCACCTCCCTGTCCTTATCCCTGACCTTTGAAGAAAAGATAAATAAATAAATGCCATTAAATCGACAACTGTGACAAGGGAAGTTAACTTGAGTTCAGTGGTTGTGTAATTTCCCATTGGGCTGTGCTCTGGCCAGTGACTTCATCGCTGTGCATAAAACCAGGGGGGTGTGTTGGCAATGTGATCATTGATGCTGATGCAGCAGCCCTGGGGTCAGTCGGTAGGGTTGCCTGCCCCCCTCCCACTCTTTCCATACGGTACTGCTGTCAGCTCCGTAGAATCTGGAGTAAGCGACGCAAATGACAAACGTGGGCGTGTCTGTTTCCCCCATTGGTTTGGGGTGGGGTCCCGGTACATTTCCAAGAAGACCAGTCTCTAATCCTGATGTGTTTGGTGTGGGTAAATGGAAGTGACAATGACCAGAATATGACACTGTAAATGATTTTGATTATGCAAGCCAAGTATTTCTTTACTGTAATCAGGTGTGTTATTGTGATTCTGAAAATACACACAGAGCACTATCTGTACTGTTACGGGGATGATTCTGAATGCACACGCAGAATGGTGTTTAATGTCATTGGTGGTGGGGGTGTTATGATGCTGAAAATACAGAGTGCTATACTGAAAATGAAGGAACAACAGTTCTGTAAGTGCAGCCACTGTGAACCTCCACCCCACCAGCTGGAATGCAGTAGGCAGTGGACTGATGACACCACACTGCGCATGTGGGTCACAGGCCGTGCACTGTGACCGTGACAGTTAAACTTCACTCAGAGGAGCTAGTGTCCTGCTCAGCCTACTACCCTCCCCCCCCCGACGCACACGTCCCATATCGAGCGGCGAGCCAGTGAGTGAGATGTGCTCTTTCAGCATTCTCTGCTGCAGCCACTGGCAGTGCGCCCGGCGATGGCTGTCCACAGCCTGCCGCAGGGTAATGGGTTTATCTAGGTTTTTCAAATCACTGTTCCAAAAAAAAATAACTGCATCAATTTATATCACTTTGAGGCTGTGGGAAGAAGGAGTGAATAAAAAGGGAGAGAACAGCTTAAACCTCTGAAAATCACCATCAGTCATCATCGTAACCACCACCGAGGTCTCCTGCCTCAGTGTTAAATTTGGGACTGTGAGTGTCTGTGCCACAAGAGACACTGCGGGCCAGCCAGCCCCCTGAGCAGAAATGTCAGGCTACGCTTTCAGGTTTCCAAGGGTGTTTCCTATCGCCATGACAACAAGGGGTGGTGGTGGGGAGGGGACCACCAGCAAGGGCCAGTGACCCCCCAGGGGAGGATGTGCATATGGGATGGGGGATTATTTCTGAAGCTGCTTGGTTACAGAATCCCAGTGAACCAGCCACAGCCCCAAATGGATGCACTTCACTGTTCAAAAACAGATGCTGCTGTAAAAAACTGGAAGGACACTGTTGCATTTCCTGCTCAGTTAAAATGACGTGTCAAGCCGAAGTCTATTTTTCCAGCCGTGCAAATTGTCCTTAGTTTTGTAACCAAAGGCCAAATTCTATAGGATTGTTTCCTTTTGAATAAACTTTTAAAAAAATCAAGACTCATCTTTCACGTGTCGGTTCTAGATCTGAGAACGGCTGGTGCTGTCATGCACAGGACGCCCCCCCCCCCGCAGACCGAGCCGTTTACATAGGTGTTCCGGACCTGAGCCCATGTCCTATCCCATTTCAAATCATGTGACGATAGAACTGACAGGTGATTCACCCAAGTCAGGACAGCAGATGAATCAGTTCACATGTTAATAGCTCATAGCTCATATTTTTCAATTACTATATAGGCAGGCAGGGTTATATAAATACAGTCATACAAATGAGTAAATAAAACCCAACAACGACTCACTCAAGTGTTTTTGGCTTGCAAAGATTTTAATGCATCACTTTGTACAATTGTCTTAATGCAAACAAAATAAAGAAAAAAAAAGACCCATGAGAGAAAAACAACAGTCACACGGCACCCTGCAGACATATATCCCCAAGCATTCACTCCACTACATTTGTTAAATATCTATATTTATATTATTTATATAATCATGACATCTGTACAGAGGAATCAGGCTACAAATCATAGTTTATTAGTTTACCAAGACAGGCCACTGTGAAATGTTTACATCATACAGTCAAGTCTTGTGTGCAGCCATTGTAGGCTTAAAGCGACATGGTACATTGTACATGCTTTGGCTGTCTCTCTCTTAATATGGGTTTTGTATTGTACACATACACCAACATTTTTATTTTTTTTACAGAGCTTCATGTGCTTGATTTCCTCTTTTTTGAAACCTAAACTTCACATTATCTGTTCAAAGATTGGGAAATTAAAAGTCCGAGCTGCAGTACTGGGGGGGGGGGGAGCCACACACCATAGGCACTGCAACTACGATAAAGTAAGGATGCGTATCAGGGATACCGGCGGAATGGCGAGAGGAAGCCAGAGAGCGGGAGGGAGACGGTAGCTGGACTCGCCATGCCAGGTAAACCAGACTGGTCAAGACTAACAGGTTTGGTTTAAACAAATCAGACAGACCTTGCATTTGTCATTTCCCTCCATTTGCTCCCTGACACAAACAGAAGGTGGCTTTGCGCTGGTTTTTCTTTTTTTTTTTGCACGACACTTTTTCAAAGAAAGAAGTCAAACACTCTCTGGCCCCGCATCACATCAAGCATCAGCAGTTCTGAGAAAGTGGGGGTTGATTTAATTAAAAAAAAAAAAAAAATTTTTAAATAACAGGTGGAAAAGCCTGTGTAATGAACCCAGTTCGGTTTCTTTACGGATGCGGCGTGAAAGGAAGCGAACATTTGTATCCAGCTGAATGTTTCTGATGTAAACAGTGACTGCCTCCACACGTCCTGGATACTCATTGTTCAAGAACACTTGCGAGACCAGTCAAGTTGGATTTCTGCACTTTATTGTACACACTGTGCAAACCCTCGGGCAACATCGGCTTGGAATCACTGCCCCCTTGTGGCGCCCGAGAAAGGAGCGCAATGTCTAAGCCACCTCACAAAAAAATTACTGACACCCAGTCTCAAGTTTTTCAGGCTGAATATGTAAAGAGAAGATCCAAAAAAAAATCCAAACCACAAGAGACACAAGCAGTTTTTTTTTTGCCATAACAACATAAGAGCAACATTTACTGGCCAGTCTGATAAGGTGGAAGCGACTGGGGTTTAAGGGACAAGGGTTAAGCACAGAGGAACCAAACCTGCCTTTAGTTGTGCTTCAGTGTTCCTCTACCCTTAGCCCAGAAGACAGTATCTTTTTAAAAAGCAAGGGGGGGAAAAGTAAATTGATTCAAATACATAACATTGCTCCCTTCGCCAATTACACGACTCACTTATATGAAACTAAGTTGAAGGGAGGAGCATTTTACTTAAAATTCTTTTACAAAAAGCTCTGGAAACCATAAGCGATGAAGCGTAGTGGGGAAAAATGACTAACTGAACGCCGTCCACTATCCAGACCTTGGTAAATACCAAGTAAGGTAAGGCATCTAGCTCCGGGACTAGACCTCATGGACAAACTGGTGCACTAATAGTTACAGCATGCACATCAGTGTACTCGCTAAGCCAGCGAGCGAATAAGCACAGAGCGGCGCCCTCTGCGTTTAAATTAACGATCTACTGGAGCTGTGATCTATCGGATAGACGTCGGAAGTCTAAAACTGAAGGTGTGACTCTGCTACGCAACTGCTCATACTTTACCTTATGGGTTTATTTACCAGTTCTTGAGACTAAAACAGAAAATTCCAAACCTGTTTTAAAAGGAACACGCGGTATAAAGTATCAAGCCTCAGTCTGGTGCTCATATTCACCCACAGGTCATATTTCATTTATTTAATCTATCCAGTTTCACCCCTTTTTTCCAGCTGAAAAGCTTTTTTTTTGTAAACTCCTCACTCGATTGTTTTGAGCTGTTATGTGTGTGTGTGTGTGTGTGTGTGTGTGTGGCGTTTTGATGCAAAAAGGATTACAGGGATCCACTGGTAAAGGCTAAACCACTTTAATAGAAGGGGGGTCCAGTCCCACGAGAAGCTGCAGCGATTTTAAAGCACCCAGCTCTTCACGTTGAAGGTCTGCTTGTTCAGCAGCCTGGAAGGTGGCAGAGGAGCAACACGACCGGGTGCGACTTTAAAAAGGAGTTATGGCGTGAAAATGTGCCCCTAGGTCAAAGGTCAAAGGATGGGCTGGTCACTCCTCGCTTCGTGCGGTTTGTTCTGCGGCTGCTGAGGAGAAGTCCGTAAGGCGGCGTGCCGGGGAGCCTTTCTGCCATCGGGGAAGGTGCCTCCCCCCCCACGATGCGCTGTAGCAGTGCACACCGTCAGTGATGCCAGGCTTTTTGTTCCAGGGCATAGCTGGCCCCTCCCCCACCACCCACACCCAGATCCAGACACCCCCAGCAGCCTCTGCCACCCCCCCAGAAATCCTGCCACACCAGCATGTCCCGGCCATGTCCTCCATAAAGAAAAAAACAAAAATCATCTCACTCCTGATCCTCCCCTGTCAAGGCACAGGCTCTGTGTCCAAGTCTCCCTGAGTGGTCAGAATGTCAGCGGGATTCAGGGGGACAAGGGCAGGACAGGCAGCAGCCCCCACAAAGGTGAAACTGGGGGTGGAGGCGGGGGGACCTTCATTCACATCTCTACTGCGGTGGGGCACCAATGGAACTTAGGGTTAGAGATTAGATTTATGCACAGACTGGTTATTTACCAAAATAATAATAATAGTAGTAATAATAGTCGTAATAATCTTCCTCCCAGGCACAGCTTGGTTACCTTTGGGAGGGGGCAGGACACTGCTGTACAACACTGCTGTGTGGGAGAGGGGGGTGGCTGGAAGAGGGGTGTAGGCAGCAGGGGGCACTGTGGAGCTCCAGGGCACCTACTTGTCCTCCCTGCGCTCGGGGATGCTGGCGGCAGCTAGGGCGGCGCGGTAGTGCTGCAGGACCACGCGGACGCTCTTGACGAAGCCCTTGGAGAGCGGGAAGAGCGGGAAGCCGATGTCGGGGTAGGCGCTTCTCTCCGGCAGGAAGCTGCGGTAGCTCTTCCTCCTCTTCTTTGGTCTGACGGCGGGCTGGCCTCCCGCGGAGTCCTGCTGGCTCTTCCCCATCTGCTCAGTGCTGGCGCCCGAGCCGGCCTCCCCGCCCGGCGCCGCGAGGCTCTCGCAGTCCGAGTTCTGGCTGAGCTCCTGCTGCGCAGTGGTGGAGGGACTCAGGCCCGAGTCCTCCAGCTCCTCCTCCCGCAGCTCCAGGCTGCCGGGGCTGCTGTAGAGCACCCCGTGCGAGACGGCCGCCGGCCCCGCCTCCTCCGAGGGCGTGCGCTCCGGCCCGCGGCCCCTGTAGCCCCGCTCCACCGCCTCGTTTATCTCCAGCCAGGCCTCCAAACGGTGCACCAGCCTCCAACCGCTGATATGAAAGTGCTCCAGGATCTCCTGCTGGAAGACCTCCACTGGCTGCTGCAGCAGCTGTGTCATGGACTGCACCATTTTGATAAGGGCCATCTCGTTGTAGCAGCGGCTGTTCTCGTAGCCCTCCTGGAGGCCCCGGTCGCTGTCGAAGCCGGCCTCGTTGTAGTACGGCTCGTTCACCAGGATCAGCCCTGAAGACGCAGCGCAGACACAGGTGGTTACAGATGAAAACCCAAACGCCCTGCTACGGGGAAGGAATTCAACACGTGAAGGAATCCAACACTGCGACATGTCCTCTACACGTCCGTGCTTCCAAAGACATCCTCGGAGCAGCAGATACACCGCTTCATTATTCATAAGAGGCCCATACACGGCAGATTTCTCCTTCGCGTTTCGAATCTGAAATTCAAATTTCAGCATTTTGAAAATTACAGGGTGACATTTAAGCTCCATCAAGGGTACGTCAAGGCGAGATTCATTTTCAGACACTTCTGCCCTCTCACGAGGGACCCAAAAAACGAGGACTAGGTTGGAGGTCACCTCTCAACCCTTACTATGTCTGCTCTGCGGAGGTCAGGGAGGTGGAGTGAGGGCATGTAAAGAGCGGGGGGTGGGGGCGGACGCCACCTGTCAGCTTACCTTGGATGGAGATTAGCACCTGCAGAAGGCTGGACTTGCTGGTCCACCTTTCAGTGCCCTGCAGATGAAGATAACGACACGGGATAGGGGTGATGAGACCTTGACGAGCAGGACAAACCAGAAGACCCTGCTTGACGTGTATCACACTTTCAGTCCTATCTGGTATTCCTGGTCATCCGCATGAGAAGCAGAATATACACAATAAGCCTCTTCGGAGGAATCGTGGGGGGGGGGCATACCTTGCCGATCCAGGTTCCCAGAAGGCTGACGCAGACCTTGCCGTTGTCATAGAGGTTTGGGTTCAGGCGGCCGCTGCACTGTGACAAGTAGCGGAAGAGCGGCGGGACTGCCGGGTAGATGTTGGGCAGCTGGATGTCGAAGAGGAAGAGGCCGTCCTCATAGGGGGTACGCGTGGGGCCCTTAATTAAAGCCGAGAACAAATCCTGGAAAGAAACGAGAGAAGAGTATAGCAAACTCCCCAAACGGTCCCTCCCATCCGCTGAGCTGCCATGTTTAGGGGGGGGCTACCACATCGGGCAGACAGGGGCTTAAGGACAATGCAGTCCCGCGATCACATGGCAAAATACTCAGTGGAAGAGAAACTAGGGATTTAAGGGGCAGGAACTTGCCATGCGGTCCTCAAATGTCTTGACCATGATACCATCTGGCAGCGAGGTGGCCAGCAGAGCCATCTCCTTCCTCACAGTGCTGAAGAACTTCTTGGCTTCCGCAGGCTGGAACTCCATTTTCTTAAAGGCGTGAGTGTCTGCGCAAAGAGAACAGGACGGGAATCTCTGTCAGCTCTCCTGACCCATTGCTGGTGTTTACAATCAGCCATAGATTTACAGCCCAAAAATGGCTTTAGCTACCACAACACTGCAGCGGTGTCTTGAAGGTGGAGATGTGATGTGCTCACCTGGTGCCCACTCAAGCACAGAGAAGACCTCCCCCTTGGCACTGGTGAAGGTGACACCCGGCTTGCCCCCGCTCTGCTGGCAGAGGACAGGTGTGTCGCTGGGCCACTCGGAGCGCACGGGCGTCTGGGGCTCCTGCTGCTTCTCCTCCTTGTCCGTCTCCCCTACAGCTTCCATACGTTCCTCCTCCACGATGGCCACATTGTCCAGTGTCTTCTTCAGGTTCTCCTGCAGTTTCTTGATGTCATCCAGGAATCGCTTCTCCTTGGTGGGCTTCTCTGGCTCCAAGGTGGGTGATGTAGGTGAACCGGTCCACAGCTGCTCCACCGTCATGTTTTTCAGGCTCTCCAGAATCTTCAGAGCCTCCTTTAGCTCCCGGAAGCCCCGTGGTGCTCCCTCTTTGCCCGCCTTCTCTTCGGCCCCTGTTCCACCACCTCCCGCTCCCGCCAGCGTGGCTGAGGCGATGGCCCCCTCCAGGTCCTCCACTGTGGCAGGGTGCTGGGTCACCACCTTGGCCTCCTGTGGGACGCCGGCCTGGCTGGTAGGCGGCGGAGCCGGGGCTGTCTCCCCGGGCGGCTCATCCTCCATCACCCCGTTGTCCGTCTCCCAGCTGTCACTCTCGTCCTCCCACTCCTCAGAGGAGGCCCCGCTGCTGCTGCCTTCCACTGAATCATAGTCGGTCTCCTCGATCTCTGACTCAACGTTGTAGAGGTGCTGTAGAAAAGATGAGGGGAACGTAGAAATCAGCAGAGGCCCCGAGGAGAAGCTCTCGACGCCCCGAGTCCCAAATGCCACGTGGCAATACGAAGCCCAGGGAGGAATACCTGAGGCAGGACCACGGTCATGGAGTTGTCGGCCCACACCACCTCCACCTTGCTGCTCATGTCCACGCGGGACACCTGGCCCACCGATGTCTGTGGGGGTGGAGGACAGACAGTTGATGCTGACAGAGTCTCACAAAATGTACACGCAGCCAAAAACCACAAACGGTCTATTTCAGGCATCTGAGAAGTCACGCAAACAGCTGGTGGCGCCTGCCCGCCGCGTGTCGCTAATCGCGAAACACACACGACGCACTCCTAACAAGGCCGACTGCGTGGAACGTTTAGCTTTCTGAATCTGCCACCGCTGTCGCCGCTTCAGCTCAGCCAGTTCTGACACATCTCCAAATGAACGTCCCGCTCCACCCAAAACAAAGTCTCACTCAGATATCCTGCGCCTGCCAAACTACGGAAACGGACACCTACGCAAGAGGGCACGCCGGGGCGTAGGAGGCACTAGACGCCTGTTTTAATAAAGATGGAGGATGATCCAGATGGGATCGGACACAAGGGGATCATTTTCACCTCCTGGAAAACAGCCGCTGAGATTGTGGCCAACTTCACTACAGAAGGTTCATGGCGTTGAGAGACGCTGTTTATTAATCAGTAATTATTGAAAAGCAGCAGAAGTCGGGGGGGGGGGGGGGGTATGGATCCGAAATCATCACGGACGGTACGGCACGCTCATTTTCATTACAGATGGACCATTAACTACATGCTAATTGCTTTGGTTTAACCGTCAACAGAAAAAACCCCCCTCCC